TTTCTTTCTTCTCGCGAAAGAAAAAAGCTTACAGACACGAAATTACTAGAATAGTCGAATAATCTCGAATTTTTAAATGCAAGAGAAGTCCTAGCATTAAACGAGTATGTCTTGCATTGTTTATGACAAGAAAGATGAAAATTACGGATGTAACACGAGAATATTCCATCACCAGAAGGGAACGAAGCATTGAAACTACCAGTTATGTTTTTAATCCTCAATGGTAGCAAAATTAGTGTGAATATTCAGTCCAGACAACTCTGGTCTTACGAAAAGTATCATGTGAACAAGAGAAATGAGTCTCAGAGGGTAGCAGAGATGGAAGAGTTAAGAATCTCACAAATGCAGGCGAAATGCAAGAGGAGATTAGCACCTAGTAATAGATGGTCTACATTTGAGCACGAGTCGTTCCTTTTGGGCAGAGCACTTTGTACACTAGTAGACATGTTGCTCTGCTATTTTTGAAACATAATTATTAATGAGTGTTCAAAGTATATAGCAAGAAACTTGAACTCATCTCTCCTCCATGGGCCGTGATAGACAGCATGTATCTCTGAACCTCAGTATGTATATTCTAAAATAAATATTTGAATAATTATTTATTTGACATTTTCGATAGGCTGTGTCTAAGTTTTATGCAAAATGGTAAATAATTCATTTAGTTTCTCTGTCTGTCTGAAATACAGTTTTTCAACCACTGTCTATATAAATATAAATTATTGTTTTGTTTTTGTCTTGATTTTTGCAACTCTTTTACGTGGATTTATAAGACTGAAAAGTCTTGAGCGTATATGGTAAATTTTAAAAATTGTCTCTCTGTGTACGCGCCTGTGGGTCAATCTGAATGTCATTTTTTAAATCATTATTTGCATGGTCATCCGATATCATTTCATATTTTCTATTTCGGGTTTGTTTTTGTTCATTGAACCATTCAATCTTTTCTTAAGCACGAATTTTCTTGAGTACTTTTAGTATCTGAGAAAAGAGAGCCATAATCTCAGGGAAAATGACAGAGAGGTTGATATTGTTTTTCTTAAGGCAAGAATACTTATAACAGATGCTGAAGCAAGAAGAAAATGGAACCTTCGTATTCTTTGCACGCTTTTACCTTTCGGATGTGGATGTGAGCATGAGCCTTCTCTGCATCCATTCCCACATCCACATTCGCCCTCACCAATGTCTCGAATATAAAATCAAACTTAACCGTGCATTATTAATTCGCATTCTACTTATTTACTAGACGGATATGTACAAAAACAATCAAGAGCACTTGATGAGAAAGACATTGACCGTAGATGGGTTTCTGCAACATCTAATCACGAGAGAAATATATGAAGCATAGGCCCTTGTCAAAAATATTCCCATTCAGAAACAAGCAACACAACAGACATAAGAAAAAAACAAAAATAATGTTCATTCTATCGTATTCTCAAGAACCGACCATATTATCAGCTAGACTCATACGAACCTGTAAAAAACTATTATCACTAGTAATTATTCTACTCACTGATCAAAAATCGTCAACACCAAAAAAGTTATTTCTACGCCTTCGAAAAGTATCCAATGAAAACAAGAAAAAGTAAGAAATTACTTTATAATTGCCCTTGATAAATTGTGATAATAGCTACATTTCAGAAATTAATCAAAAAAAGTCGGTCACATTGAAAAAAATCATCAAAATAACATCAGAAAAATGACTAATTCATGAAATCTTGCAAAGTATTACATCTTGAGGATTATACATTCGATTATATTAGATCTAAAACGCTAGTTCTCAAAAGTAAATGGTTTAGGCAACAAACCTATGAAAAATGTTTCAATGACATGAAATTCAAGATAAAACTTTTTGAACGAACATTATCGCGTTCGATTAGTATTTTGTAGGTATCCACGAGTTCTACAAATACGCATTCACGCGAATTAATGTCTCGTATAATAATCTTGTTAGATTGCGCATTTTCTTTCATTATACAGCTAGTCTACATAAAGTGACACTTCGCTAATCAAGTTTTGGAAAAGTTTTTTTTCGAGTCAGATAGATCTGAATGCATTACTAGGTGCAGTTTTTCATGCTAATTACCTATTTTATATTTGTTCTTCAGCACATTCGAAGCGATTAGATTCTGCTAAAGAGTACCTCTAGCAGATGAATATTCGTGTGCGTTCAGCTTTCGATAAATGAATTTGTTTGCTTTTGGAGTCTATGCTGTCAATTGTTTTGTTTTTTCTTGTATCATTACATGCACAGTCCTCTCTTAATCGAACTGAATAACTCCTCAAATATTTAGTTTTCTCTTTACTTGACATATTGTAGAGTATGAATAAGAAAAAAGAGACGAAATTTCGATTTTCTTTTGTTTGCTTTTCTCTTAGCCATCTCTTTGATTATTTTCTGTCTTCTCTGTAAAATACTTGATTTTGTGCGACGAAAGAGGAAGGAGAAGGAAGATGATAGAGAAAATGTAGTGAGTACTCGACTATTCCAATAACGTTCTCTATCAGATTATAATTTTATTGCATCTCACTATGATCCGGTGGCATCATAAAACTTCAATTTGACATATACACCGCTAATGAATTGCAATTCGATTTCGATTGTTTTCAAGAGAAGTATCATGCTATGCGATAAAGTATTCAAAAAATACCGAAGGTACAGCAGATGACACATTATGTGTAGCCTTCGACTTAAGGAAAAGGAAAAAGAGTGGGTTTCTATGAAAATTCTTTTTAAAATACACCCCTGGGCAAAAGTCTTTCCTCCCACCTCTTTTTTCAGCAGGAATTTCTCTACTATTGTAAAGACAAACATGGTGTTGTTCAGGCCAAATAAAAGAGAACCCGAATAACTCCTAATCGGCCCGAACAACACCATGTCTGGTCCTTATAGTAGTAGAGAAAACCTTGCCGAAAAAAGAGGTGGGGGGGGGGAGACTTTTGCCCAGGGGTGTATATAGTGATTCACCAGCGGATCACATCGCCTCGAACGTATTGAAAAAAAGGATTTTGGCATAGAAAACTAGGTTTTAAACTCTTGAAAAATTATATTTTAAATTTCCTAAGGAAGATCTTTTTTCAATAAAAACTGAGTGGCATATCATTTGATGCAGAATTCAATTCTCTACAAGATGATCTATTTGTGTTTTACGTTAGTCGTAAAGGACAACTAGTATATTCTTGTTCAGTTTTCAACCTCCTGTGTAATTAATGAGTTCTCATTTGATCTTTTTACTCGACCGTCCAATGCTCTGCAAAAAAGACTCTAGAAGCGTTTCATTCGGAGAAAAGCCTTAGCAAGAAATTGGGGTTTTATCAGCGGCACTAGAGAAGAAAAGTCTTTTTACGTAAGAGCCTTAAATGATGATAAAACCCTTCTAGAAGCCCGAGACTTCAGCCAAAAAGGTCATTTTTATACCAGAAATAGAGTGTGACAAGCTGTATTGAATGGGCTTTACATGAACTTTCTAGATATCAAACCTTTCGATATAATTGAAAAGTGTGTCAAACATGTAAAAGCACTACATTTGGACAAGCTGTATAGAGATTGCTTATTAGTCAACAGCCACTACCAGCATAGAGAAAGAGTCCACTCGAGATTTTGGTTTGACAATTTTTCGATGACGTCACATATATTTTGTGGGAAGCTGGAAATATATGCTATGATTTTGCAAGAAAATCAGTACATTTTTTATAGCTTTTTCATACTTCTTCGTTTCAAGAAAACTTTTCATGAATACGAATGCCCAGAACGTCACCAAAGCAAACACTAAAAATTGAATATCTCCACCGTCCTCCACCCAAATGAGCTGACTCATTTTCTGAAAAACAGAAGACAGCTCCAGGTTTTTATCCATATATAGACCGTTTATTCTGTGTTACATCCCGAAATCTTTTCCAAATCTGTCTATACCAAGAAAACAACAGAAGTTTCCCCAAATCAAAAAAAGCTATCCCTCTTCAGGAAACCATATCTTACAAATTTTCAGCTTCACAACAGAAACAAAAAAGCCTGCGAACAACTCACTCATGTCATGGATTGAAAAGCATGCTGTTCTCTTCACCAGCAACTTCTTCGTTGTATAGATAATCAAGAACCATCTCTTTCGAACTAACTATCACGCATTCTATATCACATATAACAGTTATTTGTGTATGAATAGTAAGTCTCCGGACATCCAGTACAATTTATCTCAGCGATCACTTCGATGCAATAGGATTTCAGAAAATACAAAGATATCCGGGTAGACACATCAACGACTTTCCAAAACTATGCCTCAATTACCTAATAAGATGCTACAAAATACAATGTGATCCCTACTTTTACACAACTTAGTATATTTAAATACGAAAAACCAAATATTCCCCATGATCCATACTGCATTTTCGTCTAGCTTCAAACACACCGAAGTACGTCTTCCCATGGGCATTACACAGACAATAGTTCGCCCCGTTGTGATCTCATGTGGCTACCTTTTCAGTGAAGGCAACCGAAGAAAAAATTACCTTTGCTAACATGAACCTTGCAACAATCGAACAGCGAGAGATAATACCAACTCAGTTCTCAATTAATCAACTATCAGAATAATTCAAAAACAAATTTCACATTCATTTTGTAAGCACCTTCGCCAACGCCCACCAAATGTCCCAGCGTCTTAGCCTACTCAAGGTGACATATCATTCACCAGTACACGTGGGTTATTCATATACACTAAGAGTAACTAAGGAAGCTTATTCAGTAATTCTTCTAAACACTGATTACTCAATTAACATCTTTCGACAACAACTCCCAAAGTTCCTCAAAACCTCACCATCTCATTCTAATTTCCTTCCACACGATAACACATGTGAAATAACATTGCCTACCAGCACTTCGCTCCCATGGATGATTCAACTCAAACTATCTCTAACATCCACGACTCTAAACTACTCAAAGTTCAACGATAAAAAAATCTTCAACATTCTCTATTAACAAACCTCGACGATCAGCAAAACAACTACTAAGCTTAGCACTCACTAATATCAGCTGCTGCTCCACCACCAATAGATGTTGTCCTCCCGGTAGTTGTTGTTGTTTCCGACGTGGTGGTTGTTGTCTCAGTAGTCGTCGTTGTCGTTTCGGTAGTAGTTGTCGTTGTCTCCGTGGTTGTTGTTGTCGTTTCTGTAGTAGTTGTCGTTGCCTCCGTGGTTGTTGTTGTCGTTTCTGTAGTGGTTGTCGTTGTCTCCGTAGTCGTGGTTGTCGTTTCTGTAGTAGTTGTCGTTGCCTCGGTGGTTGTTGTTGTGGTTTCCGTAGTAGTTGTCGTTGTCTCCGTAGTCGTGGTTGTCGTTTCTGTGGTAGTTGTCGTTGTCTGGGTGGTTGTTGTTGTCGTTTCTGTAGTAGTTGTCGTTGTCTCAGTGGTAGTTGTTGTTGTCTCCGTGGTTGTTGTTGTGGTTTCTGTAGTAGTTGTCGTTGTTGTCTCCGTGGTTGTTGTTGTCGTTTCTGTAGTAGTTGTCGTTGTCTCGGTGGTTGTTGTTGTCGTTTCTGTAGTAGTTGTCGTGGTCTCCGTGGTTGTTGTTGTCGTTTCCGTAGTAGTTGTGGTTGTTTCCGTGGTGGTCGTTGTTGTCTCCGTAGTCGTCGTTGTCGTTTNCATAGTAAACAATAATACTATACTAGATAAAAACAAACTGCATTCTAGTTAACTAAGTGCATATTTATTAATTTAAATGCAAACGAAAAGTACTCTATAGAATATCGATTTAAGACTTAGTGATTGAAAAATAAAATATAATTAATCTAATGACTTGATAGTATCATTTTATTTTATAGATGAATGGAAAAAATTTCTATAAGAATTTAAAAAATAATAAAATGATATATTAACATTTTGATGAAAGAATCTATTCTATAAATAATTGATCGGAGATGAATATGCATATGTCATATAATGTTTGTATGAATAGGAAGCATATCTATCTACTAAAGAAGATTAATCAATGAAGCGTAACATCATATTATCGCTTAGAAAGAGAAAAAAAAAACCATTCATTAACAGTATTGATAAAATATATCTAGACGTTGTTTACTCATCATGGAAGTTAACAAGATGAATGACATTGATAATAATGATCTTCCTATTATTCGCGTAGCTGGCGTACCTGAACATTTTAATGAACCATGGAGAATAGGATTAGAAAAAAATTTATTTAAAAATGAAGGTATTGATATTGAATGGTATTCAGTAAAAGAAGGTACAGGTTCTATGATTAATAAATTAAAATCAAATGAAGTTGATGTTATTGTTGCATTAACTGAAGGTTTAATTAATGATATTGCAAATGGTTCTGATATTCGTCTTCTTGGTACATATGTTCAATCACCATTAGTATGGTCTGTTAGTACAGGTGCTAATTCAATTTATAATTCAATTGAAGATTTAAAAGGTGAAAAATTTGGTATAAGTAGATATCAAAGTGGTTCACATTTAATGAGTTGTGTTCTTGCTAATCAATATGGTTGGAAACAATCCGATTTAGAATTTATTGTTTGTCATAATTTTGATAATTTAAGAAAATCAGTTAATGATAACACAACAGCAGCTTTTATTTGGGAATATTTTATGCAAAAACCATATTATGATAAAGGAGAAATTCGTCGAATTGGACAAATAATAACACCATGGCCTTGTTTTATGATTGCTTCAACAACACATTTAATTAGTAAACATTTAAATGATATTAAAAAAATGTTTATTGCTTTAGAAAAAGCTTGTTTATTATTTCAAACAAATTCAATTGATTCAATAAAAAGAATTTCAATAAATTATGGTTTAAATGAAGAAGATGCTAAAGCTTGGTTTGATAAAGTTATTATTACTCCAACAAATACAATATCAGAATCAACTATTGAAACTACACTTGATGCACTTAAAACTGCTCATTTATTAAATAATGAAAATGCAATATCTGATCCAATTAGATTTATTGATACAAGATTTACTAAATTAACAGTTGATATTAAATCAATGCGTCTTTATAATAAACCAGAATTATTAATAACATTAAGAAATAATTTACGTGTTGCTGGAATTTCAAAAGGACCTATATCTTATATTGATTTACTTCCATATGATCAAAATCATTATTATGGTACACAAGTTTTAGATTTAGCTGTTAATGAACTTAAACTTAATCAATATGATCAAAATTCAAATTGGTTTATTCAAATCGGTTCGAATTTAGCTGGTTGTGCAAGATATTTAGCTGGAAAATATCAATTAAAAGTATTAGCTATTGAATTACAAAATGATCTTTCACAAACAGCAAGTGAATTAACTGAACGATGCAGATTATCTAATTATGTACATCATATAGCTGGAAATTTTTTAAATGTTGCTGAACATTTACAAGAAAATTTTTATTATGGTATTCTTAGTTGGATAACTATTTTACATTTTAATCAAAATGAAAGAATTCGTTTAATTGATCAATCTTATCGTTTACTAAAAGAAAATGGATTTTTTTATTTGGAAGATTTTATTCGTATTGGAAATATTAGTTATGATGAATCAATCATTTTAGAACATGATCTTTATTGTAAATATTTACCAACAATAGATGAATATAAATCAGTATTAATTCAAGGAAAATTTCAAATAATTAAAGTTGTTGATTTAAGTGATGATTGGAGAATATTTACTAGTGAAAGATTAGAAAATTTTCGTCAAAATAAAGAAGAATTATTAAAAATTCATGGAGAAGATATTTATAATCGTTTAGAATATTTTTATGCATCTGTTGCGAAACTTTTCCTCGGAAAAAATGTTGGAGGTGTTAGAATTATTGCTAAAAAATAATCAACATATTAATCATAATTGACTTTTATTTAAAATATATAATCAATTCTAAACAAATATTAAATTCGTTTCAGCAATTTTTTTTTTCTCAAACTGTATTTTTCAAAAAACATTCATTTCAATAAATAAATCTTTTCGAACAAAAAAATCAATTCATTCGAGTTAACTAGCCGATTTTTTTTAAATATAGAATATATATTTCATTTTCGAATATATTTTAATCATATTTATCATTGACTCAATCATAATATCAATGATCGTTTTTATATAAAATTCATTTTCTTTCTCATATTATCACGTACTTTCATAAACTATTATAGTTTGATAACTAATTGATCTTTTTCTTTTTTGAATTTCAATAAAGTAACATCATTATTCATTTTATTCTATTTAATTAACGCAGATCTTTAGCTGTTATAGTTAACAGGAAACTTTTCAATTTCAGATTAAAAATTCAGTCAATTAATAGAAAATTATTTACTTATTCAAATTTCATTGATTGTTCATTGATCTTATTTTGTTTTTTATTGACGAAAAATGAAAGATTTTTCTCGATCAACAAGTAAATGGAAAAAATTCTTAATGACTTATTTCGTTTTGTGATTTAAATTTTAAAATATGATAACAAAAGTCACTGTTTATTTTAACTTCTCCATACAAACTTTCAATTTATCGGATAAACGATATTCAAATAGTAACATTAACACTTTCTTTTATCCAGAATGAGCATTACGAAATTGTTTTTCATCTACCTAAATAAATTAAAAAAAAAGAGAAAAAAGAAAATTTACCCCTAATGTTTTCTTCTTTTATTTGTTTTTCATTAATAAAATAAGGGAAGCTACTCTTGGTATAGTGACACATTTGTCTCTTATTTAATATTGATATAACGTATTGAAGATTTAAGCTGTCTTAATGTTCTTGCTCTTTATTGTATTTAGATATAATTTCTAAATTGAAAAGACAATCAATAAAGAGTTCTTTAAAATAACCCTCATTCAAATATGAGGAATAAAATATTCGCACTTTTCATCCTTTTATTTTCATGCCTAATCACTATTTGACCGTTGAATACTTCGACAAGAAAACTTTTCGTTTATCAGAAATCTTTACGATGTTCTAACGAATATGAGAACTATTTATGAACTGATTATGAAGTTAAAATTTCATAAATTGACTTTTTTTATTTATGCCTTGATCAAGCTTGAAAATTCATTTAAAAAGATATAACTCTCGATAAGGATATGACGTCGGGAGGACGAACTATTTCAATATTCTTCGAGTCTGATCGAGCTTTGCAAACTGATATACATCCAATTAAAAAAAAGATTGTGAAAATCAACGATTCTATCATGATGAGTCTTGTTTATTCACTTTTTCATTAAATATTGTTAACTTCTTCTATAGAATTTATTAGTATTCTCCACTTCTCCCTCTTGCCCGAAACTTTGAAGCATCGAAGAAGTATGTAATGTATGTTGAAAAATGTTTGTCAATTCCAGGATAAAATTGATAATAGAAATATTTAAAACAAAATTGAAAAAAAAAATTTGAATTGATAGGAGAAATTTATTAATGATGAGAAATTAATTTGAATAAATTTGATCGATAATAAAATGATAATATTTGAATATATAACTATAGAAATAAGATGATACATAGTTATTATTTTGAATAAATATCGAATTAATAATAGTGATGTAAAAAAGAAAAAAAGACAACGAAATAATATTTGTTCTTTTCGTTTGATTGTTATGTTAAAAAATAAGTTGTTTCGTGACAATCGAAGTCATTTGTTCTTCCATAGTGATTACCAAACAATCACGTTTACATTTATTTTATTCATCTATTTTACTAAAGACAATAAATAGACGAACAATATTTAACTGACATTATTTTCTTCTCATCTTTATCAACGGTAATCAATTTCATTTATTTTTAATAAAAAAAAAGAAATCAATTTTTCAATTAATATAAAATCATTTTACACTTTTACTAATATATTTTCTTTTTTCTGCCTTTATTATTTAGAAATAATTCAATCTGACAAAAAAACAGAAAATATTTTCATAAGAAAAAAAGTAAGTTTTTAAATAAGAATAGAAATGAAAATTAATAATTTGTTCGGATTAGGTTTAATTGAAAAAAGTTTAGTTTAAAAAAAGATAAATAAATATATTGATATTTATTTGTTAGTGATGTAGTAAAAGTGTATGAATAAAAATGATTGATTTGCCTTTAGGCATACATACTCATGTCATTTAACCTATTCGTTAATTGAACTATTTTAAAAAAGAAAATGTATTTATTTATGTCTACTCTATTGACTATAATGCATTATTTATTGTACTCAAAATTTTTCTTCAATCATCTCGTTTTTTTTCGCCGTTGTTAACGATATTATTTAAATTATTTTTTTAATAAGGCAAATTCAAATATTATATTAATTATTAAATCAAATACTAAGAAATTGTTTGTTTAATACGAAGAATTATTTTTTTTAATTTAGTTATTCTCCTCGCGAAATCGATTTTCAATAATTCATAGAAATTTATCATTGTCTAATCGTGAAATATGATTTCACCTTTTTTTTTGCAATATAATCAATATTGAACAATAAAAAAAAATCATTTTTAAGGAACTTATTTCACTTTGCTTTTTCAAAAGAAAATATTTTATCAGCAACATAATACAAATTTTACTCTTATCAACAAATATTTTTCAAGATAAAAATCAATTTTTTAATAATAAATGTTTTTTTTTGCATTTCTATTTATTATTTTAAAATAAAATAAGATAAAATAAACAACGTATATACCCCAATATAAAGAAAAGCGAAGTGTTGTTAGATTTTAAACTACATAGTTTTATCTAATGAAACTTAACGGCCGAATACTTTTTCAATTTTTCGCCATTTCTCAAATGTTAATTTGGATAGAATAGCAGATATATTTTTTTAAAATTCAAATTCGATTAGTAGAGTTCTTTTCAAAATCGAATGTACATCAGAATAAGTTGAAGAGCTCTCGAACACAACCAACTAGGCAACCAAAGATTTTTATCCTTCGTAATTGTTCGACGTCAACCTGTGCTAAATTCAAAAATTTGGAATATCATCCGAATCATTTTCTGGCAGGATCTTCAGAAAACTATGCTGCCGATCAAGGAAGCTTTACACCTTGTTTTTTTTTACCGAAATTTATCTATCTTCTAGTCCATCATCTTATCTGCTAAGTCATACAAGCTGCATCATTTTTTCGTTCAAGTGGTGAACTTAACTCGTCGAAGTCCATGAAAGATACACTTTTCTAGTCGGTTTCGCTCAGGTTTGAGAATAAAATATAGATTTTTATCCACGGTGAATCTTGTAGCAATCTTCGTTCTTTTCTCGAGATAGATCAAAGGTCGACAGACAAAGATCAACAAAACAAGTTATTTTAGGCTGTTTTTTTCTTTCAATTATACGATCAAAGCCTATCTAGTTCATAACGTATTGAGGTCAAAGTTTTCGAATAACTATTTAAGAGCGCTCTCTCTCTCTCGAAGAAGAAGAAGAAGAATATTTTAGAAAATCTATCAATTTTAAAAATGTGACAATTATTTTCTGTCGCGACAGTTTTACAGACAGACCTCTTATAAGCCTTTGCTGAAAATTTGAGCTCACTCAGTTAAGAGCTAAATCAGCTTTTATCATCTCATTGAAAAGTAAGAATAGCCCAAAATCACCTGTTTTACAAGTCTTTGTCTATTGACCTATGATCTATCTCAAGAAGAATATTAACATTGACACGGAATTCAACATTGGTAAAAGCTAATGTTTTATTGCAAATCCAAGGTGAGTCGGCTAACAATGCGTACTTTCTAGCGGTACTGGATTGTAATATGCATCATTTGAATAATAAAACAAAAGCATCTATGACTTAAGTGACTTTGTAGAGCGAGTCTGAACTACAAAATACATCAATTTGAGTAAAAACTGGAATAAAGCTTTCCTCATTAGCATAGTGCTTTTTCGAAGATCCTGTCAAAAAAATTCGTAGGCTGGTCTTCCAAATATTTGAATTTAGCCTAGATTTTTATCTACTAGTGTCTACTTCCAAGTGGTGAAAACCACAAGTTGAAAGATGTTTATGTTCGAAAACTATTCGAATGCTCCTGACACATTCTATTATGAAAGAGACAGTCAAAATTCGTTAATTGGTCGCAATTTTTTCTCTCTACAGATTTATTTTCTTGTCAATTCGAGAAACACGATAATTGAACTAATTGCATAATAATGGATGACCCATAAAGAATGGAACATTTTCATCTTCTTTTCTTTTTTTTTTTGAAGACAGCCACACAGTTTAAAGACGTCATTTTAAGCTGATTTCATTGAGAATTTTTCGCTCTAGAAAATCGTTGACTTTATTAGTCAAATAAGTATCTCCTGTCGCAGATAAATTGAAATGATTGTCAATCGCTCATCTATTAAACTGCAAATGTCACAAAACAGAACAACTAGCAAAAAATATGTTTAAATAAGAGTTCCATTGAAATTCGAAATATATTCTGCAAGATATTTTATGATATTTTACATTTCGCCATATTTCCTTATTTTAGAAAAAATAATTCGAACAAGAATTTTTTAAGCAAAAATTAGAGAACGCCGCAAAAGACTACTGTATTCGGTTGTATTATCATACAACATTCATAGAACACGATAACTTTTCAAAGTACGAGTGTCGAAAGTGTATTCAAAATAAAATATCACCAGATGTCAGTTTCAAGTCGTTTGCACTTGAACAACATCATTAGAAGTTTTGAGAACATCTTCGAAGTATAGAATATAAAATTCTTAATGTATTCATGAAAAATACTTTGCATTGACCATCGAACATAGTTACCACAACTTTCCAAAAATCGTCAGATATATCAAGAAAATAACAGGAGATCCTAGGTGAGCAATGAAACAGTCGTCAATATTTTCAATTTTTCGTTGACGAGAAAAACTTGTTTAAAAAACAAAGTTCATATTTTTTTAAAGCGAAAAATTCTCTACCACATCAACTAAGAATGAGCCCTTTAAAGCATTTCCATTCTTTAGAAACGAAAAATCAAAATGTCCCATTATTAATGGACCATCCGTTTTTATACATCATTTTGTCAACTTATAAGATTTCATTTAAACTATTGAAAAATTTCTTAAGCTATTTTCATTCTAAAGGAAGTTTATACAAAGTACTTTATACAAAAAGAAAAGAAATTGTTTTTTCTCATTCATTTCTTTTTATTGACAAATGTCGAAAAATTATTCGAGATATGACATAGTAGAATTCTTTAGATTTTTTTCTTCTTATAACAAACAATTAGAAAATCTTTCAAGTTAACCATACTACAATCGAGTACTACACAATCAACAAAAATATTAGTTTAATCTTCATATAAACAGGTGTGAAACAACGATAAAAAAGATAGATTTAAGTTAACGAAAATGAATTATTAAACAAAGATCTATTAGAACTATTCTTATTATGATCATTGTTTTATTCAACTTGTAGGTTACGATACAGATACTATTTAGTTTTAACAATATCAAACGTTTTAACTTTCCTTTCGGAAATGAAAAAGAAAGAGAAAGTAACATTACATATTCATTTAACGAATTCTTCTATATATCGGATTCTGTCAGATTGCGTATAATTATTGATTGGTTGAATTAAATTAATTCTTTGCTTTATTTCATAATTATCTTTTTATATGATTTTATAAATCCACTGTATACATTATACTAATCATTAAGTCATTTTCTATGTTTATTGTTTAACTTCTTTTATTAATATTATTTAGTTGTTCTTTATTCAATTATTCACAACAAGTCTATTGTCAGAAGAAGAAGATGGGTAAAAAAAAGTTAACTATTTTCATCGTATTTTAAACATAATTAAACATCACATTTTCGAATAGACTCATTTATATATCATCATATAGCAATCTCTCAATTCTACTTACGATATAAAAATCAGAAACTTTTGATATCTTCTTCAATAGATATGTCGACTGTAAGCTTTAGCCCTATTGTAGTAGTACTGGGAAAGTAGATGAAGTCATGAAATCTCTACTTTTTTTAGAGATACAAAATTCAAGTTGATTCTAACTGTGAGTTTTTTTTCTCATAGTCTGACACATGTGCATAGGTATCGCTTTTTACTATAGAATAACCTTTGAGAAAAAAACCAACTGGAGAACATATGCGAAGAAAGTGTAGCTATCCATAATCGGTCTAAAAAAGCTTTTTAACTTGAATTTTAACAGATATGAGTATAGTAGATTTTGTATGGTGAAGTTTACGTTATTATACAGTATAGATGAAACACGTTTAATTGTAGGAAAATAATCATTTAAAGAACATTGATTGCAGCCTCCAGCGAATCTACGATGATTGCGAATTGTTTGTTCTCTGCATATTTAAAATCATTGTCAAATTATATTGGTTCAATTGCTTTTTCGACAAGAATTTACAGTAAATGCAAGCTGTAAACTACGGCTGTCATCAGAACAACAAGATTGAGGGGGGGGGGAGGACTACTGAGAAGGTAGACTTAACAAAATTTGAGAGAAGTGAACTCTTGTTGTGGAAATTGGTAAGGAAAATAACGAACAAAATTGTTCAGTTTTGCTGAAGAAAAACTAAAGCTATTCAAGATAGAGAGGTTACTCGTCCCCGTTCAAATCACTCTTGCTGTTAACTCTCATTATTTCATGAAATAACTTTTTATTTGAAGACTTGTGGATGGACGTGAATGAAAAATCAAAGAATCACATACATTCATTGTCGTATCCACATCCTACTATTAGGCTTGAGAGACTTTTTCAGATCGATTATTGATAATTACTCCTTTTTTACATATGTTCTCGAGTTAGTTTTTTCTGAAGATTATCCTATAGTGGAAAGCGATACATATGCACATGTGTCAGACTATGACAAAGAAAAACTTACAGTTAGAATCGACATGAATGTTATATCTGTGAAAAAAGTAAAGATCTCATGACTTCATCCATTTTCCCAGTACTACTACAATAGGGCTAAAACTTACACTCGACATATCTATTGAAGAAAATATCAAAAGTTTCTGATTTTTATATCGTAAGTAGAATTGAGAGACTGCTATATGATGATATATAGATGAGTCTATTCGAAAATGTGATGTTTAATTATGTTTAAAATACGATGAAAATAGTTAACTTTTTTTTTACCCATCTTCTTCTCTTGACAATAGACTTTTTGTGAACAAATGAATAAAGAATAACGAAATAATGTTAATAAAAGAAGTTAAACAATAAACATAGAAAATAATTCAATGATTAATATAATGTATACAGTGGATTTATAAAATAATATAAAAAGATAATTATAAAACAAAACAGAATTAATTTAATTCAATAAATCAATGATTCTATTCAGTCTAACTGATTCAAATATACAGAAAAACTTGTTAAATGAATGATGATAGAGTATTTAAAGTAAATGGATGAAATTGAGGTCTGTTCTATGTTGATAGTTAGGCTCTATGGATTAATTCTAATCCGAAATGAAAGATGATCGAGGGTGAATGAAATCTTATTTGAGTATAAATCTTATTTGATCTGTTAAAGTAATGTTATTTTTTTTAATTTTTTATTAAATTAGGTATTTAAATCCTGTTGCAATAATTAATTATTAAAAAGTGAAATTGTCTTAAATGGGTTCCGGTTCAAGTCGTAAGAAAAAAGTCGACAGACAAACTCAAGTTTCATCAGCACCAACAAGAGATAGAAGCCGAACTCCTTCACCTCCATTGGTAATAAGAAATACACATCATAGTCAAAGACCACGTTCATCTCATCCATCACCATGGTTATCGAAAACACATACACAAAGTTTACTATCAAATTCAAATTTAGGACAATACGAATCAATATGGGAACGAGATGGAAAGGTTTGAAATAAATAAATATAATTAGATAATAAAATAGGAAACATTTAAAAAATAGTGTTTTTTAGGAGAACTTTTTTGAAGATAAGAGTTAAATCTTAAAATATTTTACGAAGCCTTATTTATCTGATAGATAATTACGAAAATGATTTGAACTATTTTTAATTATTCATAAAAAGATAATAGAAGAGTAGATAAGTGTAAGTTGATGTGTGCAATCGATCGATTAGAAAAACTATTTTTGAAATTTATTTATTAGAATATGCTAAATAATTGATATTATTATTGTGAGAGATATTATCATGTTCTATATAATCTTCTTTATTTAAAGAATATAAATGACAAATATTCGTATGTGTGTATATGAAGACAATAAAAAGAATTTTTCGAAATACGAATAAGAACAAGAAGAATTCGTTTAAATTGGTGAATGAATGCATAGATAGCATATTATAGATAGTCGATGTATGAAAATGAAAATAATACTTTTCAATAGTAATCTATCATTGATCAGAAAAAGTCTTTTTGTTTTATTAATTAAATCTGAAATAGAATTTCTATAAAAAAATGTCGAAAAAACTGAAATTGTTAAAATAGTTCTTTAGAAAAATAAATATGAAATTAATTCGATATTGAAATAAATATTATTCTTGAATATTTTTGTTTAAATAGTAATTAATTTGAAGGATTTCATTTTTTCTTCAACATTAAATTGTTTATTTATTATTAAGAATGAAGCCATTTTTAATAAAAAGCAGTTGAAATAATAATTAGAAATTACCCGAGATATTCGCTTGATGAATATATCTGAGTCAATGGATAGAAATGACAAAAATCGAATATCCAGAAGGACAATACGAACATCAATCTGAAAATAGCTAGGGGTCTATTGGTGAGTTTGCTCAATGTTATCTCAGAACTCCACAGTATTTTCTGCATGATTTATCGATCATAGAAACCGTAATCTGATAGCAAAAAAAGATACACATAATTTTATGAAATAAACTAAAATAATCGTCTAGGAAGATAATTAAAATTAATTTGAATTGTCAATTATTGATTATTCATTTATTATAGATAATAACATAGTGTCATATTGTTGTTGTTGATGTTTTTATTTTATTTGATAAAGTATTCATCGGAATAATAAATGAAATAGCGCATGAATATTGATTCAAGATTATTATTATTATTATCTGCAAATAAACAATTTTTATCATTTGTTTTAATTATTTTCTTCGAAATTTTTATTTAAATATTGAGATAATAATGAGCTAATTATTATTTTAAACGTCGTTATATATGTAATAATTAATCGAAAACGAAAGATAAAATATAAAATAATTAAGATTTTTCTAAATAATATCTTAAACAAAAAACGTCAATAGCAAAATACTAATCGAGATAAAGTAAATAAAATAGAGAACGATAATATATTGTTTAATATAAATAAAAAAATCCAAATAAATAATATATTTATAAATATATAGTTATCATCAAAATTTCAAGAATTAATTAAATCCGGCTTAACAACTATTGAACATGATCAAAAAGAAACGCATCACAAAGAATTAGTAACAACACATTCAAGTAAATATGAATCAGCTGAAGTTCAATCAACATTAACAAGTCAATTTGACTCAATTCATAATTTATCAACATCAGAAAGATTAGATACATTAATGGTTAATTTAAAACAAACTCATGCAAATTTTGATGAAATAGTTCAACATCGAATTCAACAAGTAACATTAGAGACAGAATCACTTCTTGCACGAATTGTTAAAGAAACTGAAAAACTTCAACAAGATTTATTAATTCAAGCTAAAGAACAACAAACTATTGAAGATGAACAATACAGATTATTATTAGAAGAATTTATTGCCAAATTAGATGAAAAAAGAGCTAAACAATTAGCTTTTATACAAGAACAACTTAAACAACAACGTTTACAAATATTTAATGACTCTCAAATTAGAATTCGTGCTGTTAGTGAACAAGCAAATTTAGTTAAAAATCAAATTATGTCCGAAGAAGAAAGAAAAGCTTCAGAAAAAGTTGATTCTATTGTTAATGAAATAAATTCTACATCAACTGATTCAGCAATTCAACAGATGAGTACACAAATAAAAACACAAATTAATTTAACTGTTTATGAAAAAGTTGGCTCGAATAAATCTGAAAATGATGTTCATAGTGATGAAAATGATCAAAAAATAGTTATAAAAAGAACAAAAGTTATTTCTATTCAAGCTTAAAATCAAAATACATCAACAACAACATCGTCTGATCATAAAAAAAAAACAATTAGCCAATCAGTTACACAAAATAAAATATATTAAACTGATTTTCTTTTCTGAAATTTTTTTTCTCTTTTTTTAATTATAATAAACGAATACTTTTATCTAATCAAACTAGTGTAACATTTCTGAAATTATTTCATATAAATTAATATCTTTTTTATATTAACATTTATATTTAAAACAATTTTCTCTTTTCTTCAAATTAATTTATATTATTCAACAACGATGAACTTTTTTTTTTTTCTTATCCTTTTATTTAAATATTTCGAGATTTTCTATTAGATACAAAAGATTTTTAGTTTATTTTTAGAAACTAAATAATAAAGTTAATATTACAACTAGAGTCTAATATTCGAGCGAAATTTTTCTTGATAATCTATCGAAAGAATAATTAACGAATGAACGGTTGACTTATTCGGACGATTCGAGAAAATATTGAATGTTATTTAGACAATAAATCTGAGATATTCACAAAGCAGCAATATTCTCTGATAAACCGACTACACTATTAATACATACGAATTTATTCTGTTAACTTTCATTTATTTACTTTTAATAAGTAAATAAAGTATTTATAGAACTTAATTATATTGAACAAATCAATTTATATTTAATAAAACTGAAATTTTATTTGAAATATTCAATGTTAGAAGAGATTATTAAAATATTCTAAACAAGAACAAAATATGATATTATCGTCATCTGTTTTGATCGATTTTTATCAGACAAAAAAAAAATCTGTAAACACAAATAGAATTAGCTACGTTTTATTTTATCCATACTGTTTTACAATTCGAATATTATTGAAATGACATAAGATCATATAGAAAACAGACTGTGCTCTTATATGTTCAATAGTTCATCTTAATTACGTAATTGCAATATCTCATTTCGATGAAAATAATTTCGTCACAAAAAATTCGATTTTGCAGAAATTAGTTTAACAGAAGAACTCTAACAAGTTCTTTTATAGGATTAATTTATCGAAAAATCATTTCTTTTACAGAATACGAATAAGTCAACCACAAATTTTGGAAACATTGCAATATTAATCGAACAGCATTATGAGACTTTTCCTGATTTTCGTCTCCATCATTTTCAATTTGGTTGCCAATTATTTTAAAGTTTTCTTGTTTTAACAAAAATCACTTGACATAGGTCAGTTTTATCGATCGTTCTATTCTATTATTATTTGAGACTTACTGAGAGATGTTAAATTTTTATTGAATTCAATCCTAGTCGAAATCTATGACTAGTATCTTCAAAATTATAATTAGAGCGAGAAAAGATTTTTCAATATTTATCACATGAAGCAAAAGGATGGGGGCGTATAAGGGTCATTTTTGGGCCCTCGCTAATTATGGTTGGTTCATGATCTACTAGATGTAGAATTTCACGAGGAATCGTTTCGTATCAAAATAAAGTTGTTTCAGAAGAGTCTAGATGGAATTTTGTTGAAAATACTAACATATATTTTGTACCNTCACATGTCCATGTATGAATGATCGATTTATGGTACAAAATATATGTTAGTATTTTCAACAAAATTCCATCTAGACTCTTCTGAAACAACTTTATTTTGATACGAAACGATTCCTCGTGAAATTCTACATCTAGTAGATCATGAACCAACCAAAATTAGCGAGGGCCCAAAAATGACCCTTATACGCCCCCATCCTTTAATGTGTATTATTTGTTGAAATAGACTATTTAAATTTGCGCTATCCAACTCTTTTTATCAGAATTATGAGAAATCAATCAAGGAAAGTCTACAAGATAATTCAAATGACAATTTCAATCATCAGGAAAATTCTATATTTACAAAATTTATTCAACTATAGATCGTTTTCACTAGTTTGATTGACACAAAAACCATAATCGGATGCAGTTTGAAAGTACCTGATAGATTGGCTACTTTTTTAAATTGAATCCTTAGAAAAAAACAGGACAATATCCTTGTAAGTCTTGAAGAAATTTTCTGTTGAAGTCGATGAGAAACACATTATTTTCAGAGAAAATAACGAAATTTATTTTTTTTGTGGGGGAGAGACACAGGGTATGGCGGTTCGACGTACCGCTGACTAGCTTTGACTTTCGTTGGTTGAGTAACTAAAGAGAAGAAGCAGACGGACACCAATATCAACATCTCTACGCACTACTCAGACAATATGCATATAATTAATATTATTATCGATTGACCTTCTATAATTGGATATTATATTGAAATAGTTCAAACATTTAGTCAATAGTTAATCAAGTCGTTATGACGAGCCTTATTTGTTAATAATCTTCCCTAAGAAATCTCATTCTATTTTCATAATTTACTGATGAAAAGTTGGGATATATCGTATGAGAAATATATTGAGAAAATGATAATAATGATCATCGTTAACTACTTACTAGTCTTGCTTTAAATAATACTGTTATTAATAGCCATCTTATGTGTTGATAGGTTACTGTTGGTTAAATATGATCTGTATATCAATGAGATGTAAACTGAGATCAATCGTTGATCGATTTAATGTTATCTAACATTGAAACATAATTACATACATTTAGATAAAGTTTCTAACGTAGAGAAACCAAAAAGAAAATATCAATAGTTTTTATTCTTATTTATGCACCATTTATATTTTATTGCACATATTATTTTATTCTTTTAATCATTATTCATTTTTATTGTTCAACTTTATCAATGATACTTAGGACAATACAAAAGTAGTCTTACTTTATTTCCTTATAGAAAGATTGACGAAACTTGTTTTAAATATGGAGTCATTATACAAATATTGATCTATTTTTCTATGGTATTTCATTATTCTTCAACTAATATAATAATAATAAAATTTCGATAAGATCTGTTTTTCTATCATATGTGATGGTTATATTAATGTCAAAAAAAAAATGCTGAGTGGATATTTTTTGAATAACTTTTGATAAAAACAAGATAGAGAGCTATGATTTTCATTGTTCGAAAGAGATGATGAAGATGAATCGATTCATGTATAATAAGGTTTCCTAATATGTTCTCTGAGGTTTGTTTAATCAATATTCTAAGTGATGAAAAAAATTGTTTTTTTTAATCAAAAAAGAAACAGCAGAGAAATTGTTTTTGACAAAAATTGCTACAGAAATCATATAGAGCTTCCACTAGAAGAATATCTATAACTTCTGAATAATTCATTCTAAGTACCTGAACTTCGTACAATGTTTTAGATCTTCCATTAGTGGTTTCAATTCCCACCTAACACTTGAAAATTCGCTGTAAACACCTCGTAGGGTAGCTTTGTTTTCAAAGAGATCGATTGAAATCCTTAAAAACATCATGTCAAAAAACATATATGAGATACGATTCGATTCATCTTCATAACCTCTTTCGAACAATGAAAACCACAGCTTTCTATCTTGTTTTTATCAAAAATGATTCAAAAACTATTCACTCAGGATTTTGTTAGGTATTAGTATAACCATCACATATGATAGAAAAGCAGATCTTATCGAAACTCTATTATTATTATATTATTCGAAGAATGATGAAATGTCACAAAAAAATAGATCAATGTTTTTATAATGACTGCATAAAAAAAGAAAGTTTAGTCAATCTTTCTATACAGAAATAAAAGTAAGACTGTCACTACTTTTCTACTATCCTAAGTACAAAACATCCGACAACAACACCAACAAAAATTCATAAAATCTTCACTCATCACACACCCATACATATGTCATGTAGCCAAAGCAATAGTGAACATCCCATCCACTACCAACATATATTAAACACCCAACAATCATATCAACACGCTCATATCTGCACATTTATAGTTAACGCCTATAATCACAACCTACTGCCCTAAACCAACAAGTACATCCACAACCACATTCAACGGATGCAAAACACTCGACCACAATATTTCTACTGCCCAACACATATATACAAATATCTACAACTCAGACATCTGTCACACTCTCACAGCCACATGTTCACTCACAAGCGCACTCGACACAAACAAAAAGAAAAAAAAAAGGCTAGGAGCAATTCTTTCAATGGTTGCAACTATTAAATTAATATTTAGTGTACGTATAGCTGACACTTCATAGTGATTATCTGCGCTTAACCAGTCTCTCTTACTCAAAAGATTCTTGGAAATGAGATTTTCGGCTTTCAGAAACCGCGAATGAGCACAATGAAATATAGTTGTTCCATTATATTATTTTTCAGCAAAAAATCAGATAATGACTTTTTTCAGGTACTTGATAAAATTATTAACTATTTTTTATTTAAGTTTGCCATGAACTAATTATTCTTCAAGAGTCTGAGGCAGATTATCATCAGTAAATTGTTTTTAACTTTTGAGTTCTTCCAGACAATAACTAATAAGGGTGCCAATTACCTAAATGTAAAATCTTAAGAGTTTTAAAGAAAAGTTCACTGTTTGGTTAGAGTGAAGCATACATATACATATATATCAATCATCTTGAGATAAAATATGTGTTTTAGTACTTCATTATTTGCAAAAACCTTCTTAATGGAAAATTAAAACAAAACTTAGTAAACAGGTGATGCATACAACTCAAAAGAACTTCAGTTTTGCTTATAAGAGTAACAAATTAAAATATACTTGATAATCTAAAATTTTAAGAAAGTCATATAATCTCTAATCAGAATTGATTACACATTTATATTGTTTTTTTTTCGATACTACCGACTGTTTATGATCTGATTGACCGACGTTAGTCACAAATAAAACTCAAACTCAATAAATAGTTTTAGTTCGGTAAATGCTTATGTAGAACACACAGGTCTTTTTGTTTTGTTTTTGTGGAACTCATATATATTTTCGAAGTGATAATAGATAGGGAGATGTTCACTTATATTCGAGCTCGAATCAGGCAACTCATGAATGACTGGAAAACGAGAAAGGGACGAATCGGATGTAAACCGAATAAGATCAGCA